TGTTAATAATAATCTACTTTATTAAAGGGAACAGTTAAGTGGTAAATCATGGCTACTAAATGGCAGTAGTATCTATTGGAGCATCTGCAATGGGGGATTTCACTTTTGTAAATTATTTTTCAACAAAGAGAGTGATATAATAGAGTATATTTTACCAGTTATATCTAAAGTCAAAGTCTCTCATGATTTCTGAAAATTTTCAGGAGAGTCCTGAATATGAAAGATAAAGGAAATTATATATTGCATATATGTATCGCATAATATATATATTTATATATATAAAATATATACATAAAATATAAAATATAATACATACATAAAAAATATACATTGCAGAAAATATTGGAAATAAATAGGCTTGAGAATTCATATGCTGAAAATAATTAGTAATATACCAACACAATCATTAGTAATATACCAACTTAAAGGATTTTATTATTTTCTAAAGTGTTTCAGTGCATATTATATCATATATGGTAGCTCATCCTGGTAGGCACTGCCAAGAGAATGTACTGCATGAATCTATGAATGCCTCTGAAAACAACACTGAGGTATGATGGGAGTAAGGGCTGTAGCATGTCAAAGTTGTGGAGAAAACAGGTGAGGAAGTCTAGGTAAAAAGAACCTAAGGTCGGATTAGTCAGATGTGAAGAAAAAAAATATAGGTTCCGGAAATAATTTTAATAGTGGGTGTAAATGACAACAGAAAATTAAAAATTAACCAGAAGTGTGTTTGGGGTAATTGGTGGTTATTTTGGCATTGCCCACTTTAATGGTGAAAGTCATAAATAAGAGTTGTAGGGGAAAGATAAGCATTTCTGTTTTTAATATAACATTAATAAGAAATTCAATTCAAATATAGACTAATGGATAAAAGTTGAACATTACCTGTGTTCACAAGACACAGTAAGATAAATAAATACTCAAAGAAAGGACCCAGGGAATCCTGAGTCAGAAATAAGAAGTAAATTGATTGGTAGTTCCAAAAATTTATAGAGCTAGTGGCTTGCTCTCTCGCTTTCTATGTGTGTGTGTCAGAAAGAGCAACAACAGAGAGATGCACACATAAACAGAGAAAAAGACTTAGAGATGTTGCAAGCTAGAGAGTTTAACAAATTATTGGTTTTGCTTTTATTTAGTGTTGTTTCCTAATGTCACCTTGCTAAAGTTTTCTGACCTCAAATAGAGCATTGAGCACACAGATATCAACTCAGTGGCAACTAACAACAGCAGTATATTAACCATAACATGAGACATTCAAAATGAGTTTCATTTGTTAAGAATTGAGGCTGTACAGTCAAGACAGCGGGCTACACACAAGCAAATCAACAAATCACCATAGTGAGAAGAGGGTAAATTGAGAAAACTATTTCTGGATATTCTATTTGTTTCTGATATTAGGCTATGAAATATAGCAAGAACACATATACATTATTAAAATGAAATTTATAGTTATTGATTAAAGTTAAATAATAACCATAATCTGAATTTAAAAAATTCATCTGTATGTTTTATTTTAAAAATTTTGGGACAACTTTAGGCACTGTTCAACTACAATTCCATATATATGTATATACATACATATATGTATGCTGTATACATATATGTATATAACTTTATTCTCAAACTTTAGTTATGTTTATCAGATACTTCAGAACAAACATTCACATGTGCTATATTTATAGAACACAGCTATTTATGATTATTTATATGTATTTTATGGGTTGCTAACCATAAGTTGGTGGTTTGAACCCACCCAATAGCTCCATGGAAAAAAAAGTCTTGTCAATCTACTCCAGTAAAGATTACATCCAAGAAAACCTTATAGAGAAGTTCTACTCTGTCACCACGAGTCAAGGGCTGACTCCAAATTTATGGAAACAGAACACAATTACTTTATTATTCATCAGACAGCTACAATGTACCTAATAATAAAACAGCAAATGAGGCATATTTTTCCCTTCAAATAGCTTACAATTCAGAAAGAGAGATAGGAAGTAAACAGTCAATTACAGTGTGATTGGACCAGGATAGAGACAAGACCTCGCTGCTGTTGGGCGGGACATCAGAGAAGTTCTACCTAATTCAAATTTGGTGAATCAGAGAAATATTCCCCAGAGAAAGTGCTAGAAAATGAGACCTGAATAATTAATTTTGAAAAATAAGACATTGTTATATATAGTTAAGTTGAAAAAATTGACTTTAGTGTAAACAACAGGCTTATATTTATTAATATTTGTAGCTACCAGCATTATTTTAATAAACCTTTATTATATTATCATTGCATCATTTGACAAACATGGCTTCTCTGAACAAACACTGAGTGCCAAGAGCAATGCAAGGGAAAGTAAGATATGTAAAAGAAATACAAGTCATGGTCTCTAACTTCAGGGCATTTACAGTATAACTGTGAAATAAGAGTTGAACAACACAAAACAATGTATGAGCATGTACTGAAATGAAGAGAGTATAATTGCTACAAAAATCCAAGCTTCTTCAGGGTAAAAGCTATGTCTTACTCATGTTAATATTTCTGGCTTAAGGGTATATATTTGGGAGTAGATAATAAGTAAATTAGGGACTATGAAAGAGTTCTATGGACTTGATGCTATAGTAAACAGGAAACCATTCAAAGTATGGACAAGAGAATGAAACAATGAAGGTATTGTTTAAAGAAAGTTGGTCTGGAATCACTGTACAGGATCAGTTGGAGGATCACAGTGTAGTCTGGAAGGTAAGATCAAAAGCATTTGAAGGCCCAGATGAGGATGTACATGTTCCCACGGAGAAGGGTGAGGGCACCACACCATTGTGGAGAAACAACTTCAGAAAATGGTTACTGTATGTGAAGGGTTGGAGAGACAGAAAACAAAAAGGATCCACAGAGAATGTGGTCTAGGCCTAGGTTATCTTGGCTTCTAAGAGAGATGGACTCAATGCAGAGGGATCAGTTTGGGGAAGAAGCTGATGATGAGTTCAGTTTTGGAGATTTCACTTCCATGATGACACTGAGACATGCTAGAACAAGTGCCTAATTAACACCTGAAGATATGTGTTAGACAACAGAGAGAGACTAAGATTGAAAGTATAGATTTGTGTATTATAAGATAGGGAGTAAAGATAAAACCATTATTGTTTCATTCATTTATTCATTCAACACATATTTATGAGATCTTAACCATATTCTACCAACTGTTCTCATCCCTAGGAATAGAGTAATGAATGCAGGAGACAATGCTCCTGCTCTCACAGAACTAACATTCTAGTGGAAGAAGAGAGATGGCAAATAAAAAGAAATTGTACACTATGCCGTATGGTGGTAAGTTCTACGGAGAAAAATAAATTAGGATAAGAGGGAAGGACTGTGGATAGGAAGGGTACTTTTTTTTTGGAAAGGAGATCAGAGACCCAAACAAACCAAACTCATTGCTGTAGAGTCAATTCTGACTCACAGCGACTCTATAGGACAGAGTAGAACTGCCCTATAGGGTTTCCAAGGAGTTGCTGGTGGATTTGAACTGCCGAACTTTTGGTTAGCAGCTAATCTCACCTATCTAAAAAGGTGGTATTTGAACAGAGATGTGAAGCAAATGAAGGAATGAGACTTAAAAAATTTCTGGGCATAGAAGGAATTATTCTGTTCCAGGCAGAGGAAAAAGTAGATGGAATGGCACAGGGGAGAAAGTATAGAGGCCAGCTTGGCTGGAAAAGAATGAGCCAGAAGAATCAAGGAGGTAAGGTCAGAAAGGTAACTGGCTACCTGTAGGACCTTGAATGTTTTTCTGCTTTTGTGGTTGGGATAAGACCCTAAATGGTGTGGGTTCAAGTGAGAAATGGAGGGGAAAACATTACAGACAGTAAAGTTAGAAAATTCTTTTGAGAAATATTTATTATAAAGTGAAGCAGTAACAGAGCAATAGCTAGAGGGGGAATGAGGGACCTAGAACATGCAAAGTAAAGGAAAAGAATGGAAAGAAGTAAAGGAATATTTTTGGTGTTGAAGATGAAAAAACCCAAAGATAACAGGGATGGAACAGCAGGAGAGGTAAAGTCATCATGGTAAATATCCTATAAACTGGAGGTACTAGAAGCATGACGACCAATGTGAAATATAGCAGGAGGGACAAGCTGAATGAGGATGGCGCAAAGAGCATCACATTTATTAAAAAGAGGTCATTTAAAGAAAGAAGTATCAGAATATATCAGAAAAGTTGGTGCTTATGTGTTTTTGACAACTCTAATATTTCATTCAATCATGTTATTTACAATATTTATAATCATTAGGCATTGTTCTAGTCATCAGGATACAGCAACAAACAAAAGTGAAAAAAAATCCCTATTGTCAGGAACTTAGAATAAATGATTAATTATTACTTAACTAACCAAACAACAAAAAACCCTGTGTCAGTATTTGTTGTAAGCCCCCAATGATTCCCCCTTTCTGCTATTCATACCCTTATATAATCTTCTCTCTTTGAGTTTGGGTTGAATTTAGTGACTGGATTCTTACCAATAAAATGTGGCAAAATTTCTGGGTACCACTTCCATGATAGATTAAAAGAGACTGTGATTTTGGTCTTGCTAGCAGACACACTCTATTGCCTTCTCAGCTTGCACACTTTAATGAAGTAAGCTGCCATGTTGAGTAGGCCCACATGGCAAGGAACTGAGGGTGGCCTCTGGCCAGCATCCAGCAAAGAATTGAGGACAGCCTCTGGCTGACAACCTTCAAGAAACTGACTCCTGCCAACAACCACATAAGTGAGCTTGGAAGCAGATCCTTCCTCATTCAAGCCTTCAGATGTAACCTCGGTTCTGGCTGACACTTTGATTGCAGCCTTTAAAGAGACTCTGAGTGAGAGGATCATGCTAAGCTATGCCCAGATTCCTGATTCACAGAAACATGAGATAATAATATGTGTGGTTTTAAACTACTAAGTTTTAGGGTAATTTGTTATGTAGCAATAGATAATACAACATTGAAGTAAATAATCACTTACCAATTGTTCCAATGGAGGGATGATATCTTTCAAGACATGCTGTGAATGATTTCTTCTGTGCCGAGATATCTGTATAAATATTAATATTTGATACTATTTTATTATTTTCCTCTAAAAAACAAGGATTTTTTAAAAGAACTCAATTTAGCAAAAGTGTATATTAAAATAATCATATTCTGATTCATTCAAAGACGATAAATAAAGTAGATAAAAAATGAGAAGGAAATGTGTTAGACATTGGCTAACCTGAATAAAATGTGTACCCAAAGATGGCTGTAACAATATCTCACATTGCATATGCTTTTTCTCTTGATACTGCTTCTATCAAGGGATGAGTCTATGTTCTTTCCTTTTTAACTTGGGCAGACCTCTATGGCTGCTTCAGTGAAAAAGTATGGTGGAAATTACAGTATATCATTTTCAGAGTTTGATCATAAAAATACCATGTACTTTCCCCTTCTCTTGGAATGCTCACCCTTGGAATCCAGTCAACATGCTGTGAGGAAACCCAAATTCCCTTACACAGAGTGACCCCAGGGAGAGTCCTTATAAGTTTTCTAGCTGACAAACTAGCTAAGGTTTCAGCAGACAGCCAGCATCAACCACCAGACAGATAAGTGAAAAGACCTCCTGATTATTGCCAACCCCAGCCATTGAGTCACCCCTAGCCTTCCAGTCTTCCCAGCGACTGCCTCAATATTGTGGAGGAGAGACAAAGTGTTCCTGCTCTGCTTCATCTGAATTATTATTATTAGTATTTTTTACCAGGCTCTGTAAGCATAATAAAAATGGATACGTTATACCTTTTTTTTTTTTTTTT